TGGAAAAAGGACCAGAACATATTTAAAAAGATATATATATTTGAATTTAGATGGATACTTACCGCCTATAAACAAAGGATGAGGGTAAAAGGAACACAAATACAGATTATATTAGATTACACTTAATATACAAGTGATACTCATATTTTTTTCATTTCTCTCTCTTTATGGGGAAAAAGGATATCATCAATTGGAAGCCTAGAAGATAATGTCGTGCCTTCATTTTTAAGTGGCATTCACATGGTTGCAATGGTTTAGGAAACATATCTTTATCATTGTGCAAGAATATCACTTTTTACCGAAGGATTACAACACCAGTTCTTTCAAGTAAGAAAAAAGTTAAGATAATCATACAATACGTGACTTTCTGAAAGATGAAAAATTTAATTTTTAAACTGATGGTTAGAAGTGATCAAGGAAAAGTGGTATTATTTCTACAACACCCTATCATTCTAACGTGATGAGCTAAACAAAAGCGTAGAAGTGAAAAGATGAACAAGATTTTGAAAAAGGACCAGAACATATTTAAAAAAAAGATATATTTGAATTTAGATGGATACTTACCGTCTACAAACAAAGGATGAGGGTAAAAGGAACACAAATACAGATTATATTAGATTACACTTAATATACAAGTGATACTCATCTTTTTTTCATTTCTCTCTTTTTATGGGAAAAAAGGATATCATCAATTGGAAGCCTAGAAGATAATGTCGTGCCTTCATTTTTAAGTGGCATTCACATGGTTGCAATGGTTTAGGAAACATATCTTTATCATTGTGCACGAATATCACTTTTTACCGAAGGATTACAACACCAGTTCATTTAAGTAAGAAAAAAAGATAAGATAATCATACAATACATGACTTTCTGAAAGACGAAAAATTTGAATGTTTAAACCGATGGTTAAAAAGGTTATGGAAAAAGGGTAGCATTTCTAAAACAACCTATCATTCTAACGTGATGAGCTAAACAAAAGCGTAGAAGTGAAAAGATGAACAAGATTTTGAAAAAGGACCAGAACATATTTTAAAAAAAGATATATTTGAATTTAGATGGATACTTACCGTCTACAAACAAAGGATGAGGGTAAAAGGAACACAAATACAGATTATATTATATTACACTTAATATACAAGTGATACTCATCTTTTTTTCATTTCTCTCTTTTTATGGGAAAAAAGGATATCATCAATTGGAAGCCTAGAAGATAATGTCGTGCCTTCATTTTTAAGTGGCATTCACATGGTTGCAATGGTTTAGGAAACATATCTTTATCATTGTGCACGAATATCACTTTTTACCGAAGGATTACAACACCAGTTCATTTAAGTAAGAAAAAAAGATAAGATAATCATACAATACATGACTTTCTGAAAGACGAAAAATTTGAATGTTTAAACCGATGGTTAAAAAGGTTATGGAAAAAGGGTAGCATTTCTAAAACAACCTAGCATTCTCTCGTGGTGAGCATTAAAACAGCCTTAAAAATGACCACGAATCGAAATATCAAGAAGGACGTCAAATGAATTTAAAGAAGTTATAATCAAATCTAGATGGATACTTACACGCTATGAACGAAGATAAAGGTTAAAGGGAAATAGATCAAGATATATATTAGAATACAGTTTATTTTAAAATGATTCTCATCTTTTTCATTTCTATTTTTTATAGGAAAGAAGGATATCATCAATTAGAAGCCTGAAAAATAATGCCGTGACTTTTTTTTTAAGTGGCATTCATGGTTACAATTGTTTTAGAAACATATCTTTATCATTGTGAACGAATATCCCTTCTTACCGAAGGATTACAACACCAGTTCATTTAAGTAAGAAAAAAAGATAAGATAATCAAATTATACGTGATTTTCTGAAAGATGAACAATTTGAATTTTAAACTGATGGTAAGAAGTGGTTATGTACAAGTGGTAGCATTTCTAAAACAACCTACACCGTCGCTCATAAAGTATGAATATTTTAGTTCTACCCCAATTTATGGAATTATTTCCAAAAAAAAATTAAAAAATAGTTCTAGATAATAGTATACATTCTCAGATTTTATTGAACAATAATTTGCCAATGTGTGTTTTGCTTCTAAAGCATGTGTATGCTACTATGCTAATCAACTAGGGAACCTACGCCCTCAAGTCTTTAATGACAGTAATGAGAATTAATGCCCCACAAAAGGGCACTAATATAGCAAACCGACACGGTTTTGATCCTGGTGTCTCACAGTTACGAGACCATTGCTTTGTTACTGAACCATGACTGTAGGCAGCGGGGGCTAGGGTAGGGGGCAGTTTCCATAAATAAACAAAAACACAGAAAATGCAATAAATTTTCAATAATTTATTGCATTTTACCCCGGTCCCCAACATAAAAAAATCCTCTAGACGGCCATGCATTATGGCCCAGGGCATGGGCACCAGAGGATTTGTTATGTCGGGAACCGGGGTAAAATGCAATAAATTATTGAAATTTTTTGCATTTTCTGTGTTTTATTTTTATTTTTGGAAACTGCCCCCTACCCAATCCCCCCCCCCTGCGTACAGTCATGGTTCATTGACAGAGCAATGGCCTCGTAACTGTCAGGCCCCAGGATCGAAGCCGTGTCGATGTGCTATATTAGTGCCCTTTTGTGGGGCATTAATTCTCATTACTGTCATTTATGACTTAAGGGCGTAGGTCTCCTAGTTGATAGGCATAGTAGCATACACATGCTTTAGCAGTCACGCAAACACAAATTATTATTCAATAAAATCTGAGAATGTATACTATTATCTAGATCTATTATTTTTAAATTATTTTTTACAATATTTCCATAAATTGGGGTAAAAAAAAAAATATTCCACCTTTTTGGGCGACGGTGTAGCATTCTTTCGTGGGGAGCTACATAAAAACCTAAAACGTGACTACGAATCGAAATATCAAGAAGGATGACAAATGATTATAAAAAAGTTATAACCAAATTTAAATGGATATTTACAAACTATGAACGAAGCCAAAGGTTAAAGGGAAATAGATCAAGTTATATACCTCACTTAAGAAATCCAGCCATCTGATTGGTCGAAATTGCATTCATAAACTTTAACTATTCCTGTAAAATTCCCGGTAAAATTCCAAACCCATGTAATAGTTCTAAAATAATAGTTCTAAAATCCCGGCAAAATTCCAGAAAGTCGGGAAAATATTTCAGTCTTGGTGAAATACCCATAGGTTCACATGTTAAAAACTGGTTTGAGCGATCGCGGAAAACGTACGTGTGCGAAGAATTGGTCGGTATTTTAGCACAGCGCACCGTACGGCAAATAAGGCAAAAATGGCTGAAGAAACTCTCCCAAGATTTCAACTTCTTGATGATGATCATATGCAAGACTTGCTGACAGCAAGAACACCAAAAAGGGTACGTGAAATTGTCCATATACATATTCAAAATAGATCTAATAGATCTAGTGCTAAAAATAAAATCCTTCTCATAGAGATTACACATCTCTATGCATTGCGCACTGCCACTGGTCGATGCTTTGGTCGATGTTTCAATTACCAAAATGAGATTCAAACTAATATTGCTCGTGATCCTGAAGGTGATACTCGTTAAGTGAGGTGTCATATGAAAGCGCAGGTTCTTCTCCATATTCCCCACTGGGCCGGCCCACCCCCAAAATTGTAAAAATATCTTGCTTAGACTAGAATCCAGATCTAGTCTACTCTCACAGATACACTCATAAAAAAAACCGTGTAGATAAACTAGAGAAAGGCCAAGGTGGTGTCATAAGTTGACTCTGTTTTTTTCGGCATATAAAAGTATTAATGACTGCTTTAATATTGGAGAAATAGTTGTTTTTATACGCTCTCGGGAAGGTTATAATTGGGCTATTTCCCTCGGCACGCCTCGGGCAATAGCACAATTATAACCTTCCATTCCCTGCTGGAAAGAACACACTCATTCACACTCATTCACAGTGTGAACACACAGTTCACACTGTGAACGGAGTGTTTTCACAGTGTGGACACCGTCACAATGTGGTAAACCACACAGTATTCACATTGTGAAATTCGATTTCACAGTGTGAATGTACCCGCTCACAGTGTGAAAATGATTTCACAGTGTGACCAAACTGTGAAAAATATTTCACACTGTGATAAATAGATTTTCACAGTGTGAATACCTTACGACATACATTTCACAGTGTGAACAGTAAATTTCACAGTGTGGCCACTCTGTGAAAAATACTTCACATTGTGAAAAATAGAATTCACAGTGTGGCCGCCCTTTGGAAAATATTTCACAGTGTGAACTTTAAAATACACAATGTGGCCGCTCTGTGAAAAATATTTCACAGTGTGAAAAAAAAAATTCACATTGTGACCGCCCTGAGGACAATATTTCACAGTGTGAAAAGTAAAATTCACAGTGTGGCCGCCCTGTACAAATTTCACAGTATGGCCACTCTAGCTGTGACAAATATTTCACAGTGTGAGCGGTATCATTCATAATGTGGCCGCTCTTTGAAAACTATTTCACAGTGTGAAACAGTAGATTTACATAGTGTGGTCAGTGTTATAAATACAGTACACATAATGAATTCCTCATTCACATTGGGAATCCTGATCATTAACAGTTTTGTTTTGCATATGTATTTGCTCAAAGGCCATACCGTACCACGCGTAGCATACTGTTGTGTACGCATGGGCGTAAATCATTACGTAATACCTATTGTTCAGGGGGGGGGGTGAATGAATAGATCATCCCCCCCCCCCTGAACAATAGGTATTACGTAAGGATTTACGCCCATGTGTGTACGTATACACTGACCTCTAACCGTATAGCGTACAATACATACTACGTGCGCGTGCATGCAGCTGTCTTCGTTTTCAAGAATGTGGCAGGAATGTGGTCCTCGATCGTGCTCGTAATTTGTCTTGTTCCGGTATAGTTTTAAATAAGATGACAACAACTGAAGAAAAAAAAAATCGAATTCTCGTGTATTGGATCGAGGCCAAACAAGTTTCCGTGATATCAGACGAATATGTACAACTACAAAGACATGTTGACGGATGAGAACATAATTGGAATGGCGGACATGGCCTGCATGGTGAAGTTTCCCAACGGCTAGGATAGCTATCAGGCGAGGGTGCTGACGGGCTGCTTCCGTGCTGCTGCGTGGCTGTCATTGAATGGTGAGTATCATCTTTGCTATACGTACTTCGCTCAGGGGAACGCTAGGAAGACACTTTTTCAAACATTTTTGGACATTATAATTGTGCACGTTAAACACCCAAACTGTTAAGTAGTGTATATCGGCCATTTTAGGCCCGGGAGGGGGGGGGGGGGGGTACTCAGATTATAGTCGGACGGGGGTGTGCGGCTGAGACCTCCGAACCCATACCCACATCCAAGGGTCCTTTTGCTGTAAATAGGTACCCATGTCTAAGGATTTTTTGTGAAAAATGGACCCATGTCTAAGGATTTCAAATTTCAAATTTCAAATATTACATTTTTTAAGCTGTAATAATACACTCTAGCAAAGCATATAGAGAGTTAACGCTAATGCGTATTGACCTTTAGCACTGCACTACGCGTTAATAGGCAGCATTTAAATACATTAATAGTCAATACACTCATAACACACAGATGCACACAATTATGCCGATGCGGCTGATCGGCAAGTTTGACAGTGGACTCACAATTTGATTTTTTTGTATTATTCCTTCTAACATCAGAAAGTTGAAAAAATGTATCTTACTGCTATTTAGGTGTCATCAATTGTCACTAAAGTACCGATTTTTAGAGAAATCGGTTGAGTTTTGTACAGTGGTGTTTGAAATGTTGAGAATCAATAGCACAGCCCCAGCTTTTAATACACAGCCAAGATAGTAATGCACCTATGTGTGTAATAACACAATGGCCAATAATTTTGCAGTTTCTTGATGAAATTCTTTATTAGTAAACTGTACCATACTACATGTAGTTTACAAGTAGCTGAAGTAGGCTACACATATTAAAGATGAAAACACCATGCAACATAATTATACTGCGCTGGCACCTCTAGCATCTGTTTTAATTGAAGGACTTTGCCTGTTTTAATTAACGTACCCGTACACGAGCTCTCAAGCATCGGCTATATAGCTCCCTGCTTGAGCCCCGCTGCTGCCCGGCTGCTGGGCAGAGGGTACGCAGGGTATAGCTGCCGATCATATCATTTTCAGCGCGCGAAGCGCTACAAGTTCCCGGGGGTACGACCCCTATACGGGCGGATACCATACCTAGCGCGCATTATGCCATATGAGTACCCGGTATAGGGCCCATGGGGTCCTGATATATGTGGTACCCCGGGGTCTAGTTGAGTTTACGAGCTACGTACACCTCGTACACTGGAAATGCAATCACAGAAGGATTCCCCGGCATTGTTTAGGCCCAGGATTTATTTAGAGATGGGAGAGATTTAGGCATTTACAATGTAGGCTCGAGTATTTAGGAGCAAATCCCAAAATCCCGGAGAAAATGAGGGAGAAAAGAGGGGAAAGGAATAAATGAAAAAGAGGACCCATGTCTAAGGATTTTTTTATGAAAAGGGAACCCATATCTAAGGAACTTTCCTGAAAAAGTCACCCTTCCGAGCAGGACATCCCCGTATACCCAATATACGTGAGTACCCCCCCCCCCCCCCCGGCATTTAGGCTCTGGACTAGACCCTATATCACAAAACTCTGCCGAGAAAAGTGCAGATATTTCCAATTTGTTTGCATATCTGAACCAAATCAACCCTAGATTCTAAAGAGAATGATCCCATATTCCGAGTCATGTAAAAATTCAGGTAAGAAACAAATGTTGCTACAATTTATTTCATGTTTTCTGTCGGCAAAAGATAGTCGGACGAAAATGCATAAAAATAAGATATAGGCCTAGCTCACTAGAAATGACATATGTTCAATAATAATGTCCAAAAATGTATGAAAATGTGTCTGTCTAGCGTTTCCTTGAGCTAGGAGTAGTATGAATACTGTTTGGATGTGAACTGTGTCGTACTACAACTTTCACACTCGATCTGCGTAGGGTTGCGAAGTGTGGCATACCGAGTATGTCAAATTTAGGCTGCGTATGTCTGATTATTTTATTTAAATCTGTAAACGTGCTTTTCTTTTCAGTAATACTTGACATTTCTTTTCTGTTCCACAGTTCCATACATGAGGTTCGGACATACTTGACCCAAGTGCAGCTGGGAATGCTGGAGCTACACAAGCAATCCTGGTCATGTGCTGTTCTTGCACTAATGGGTATGCTCTTTACCTATGAGGAGATGGCAGACAGCATAGTTTCAGCATTTAGATTAAAGGAGGAGAATAAGGGAAGCAGTTGCTTGACCAAGACAAGGTGGATGCCATCATTGGTGAGGCATTTTACTATAAAATATACTGACAGTGCCTCTTGGCTCATAGTACTAACAATGCTAATGGGAAATTGCTTTTGATTAGAAAAAGCATAATAAATTGCTGAATGTATGTCGTTTTTAAAGTTTTCTTTTTAAATTCAGTTGATTTCAGACTTTGACTAATTATATGTAGACCAAAATATGAAACTATAACCTTTAATCTGGTATCTAAGCAATATTTTCTCATATTCGATGCTATACAGCATGTTTATTTGCAAATTTAGAATTTACGAACCTATACTTTTACTCAAGCATATCTTTAACAACTGTTTACAATGTATGTTAGTTTACCTAGCATCTTGTTAACAAGAAAGCGAATAATTTGTAATGTCTGGGAGGGCAAAATGTAATTTAGGAAAACATTTACTTTATGATATTTCTTTTCAGGTAATGTAGGGTGGATATGCAGATGTTTACATGTTTTGTATTCATCACCTATCATTGTTAATGATTACAAGTTCATGCTAGCAGTTGAATTAGAAGTTGTAACATTTCTCTCATTTATTTTTATTTTTTTCTTCATGATAGAATATGCTATGGGAAGATTGCTAGGAGTGACCTCCGCAGAAAAAAGAGGAAGATGGGCCAAAAACTGAAGGACACCAGGGTACCACGCAGGAGAAATCCTTAATGGTCATACAGCATCCAAGGGCAACTTCTTGAAACTGGAAACTGCTAAATATCTTGATGTTCACCTCAAGAGCAACCTGAATTGGACAGATCACATAAAGACAACAACAAATAAAGCCAGCTCTGTCGGTGCATTTTTGCAGTGGAACATTAGGCCTTGCCTAAGAGAGACGAAAACGTTGCGCTTCTTTGCTCTTGTTCGCCCAATCCTGGAGTATGCGTGCACAGTGTGGGATCCTCACACCCAGGACAACATACACAGGCTGGAAATGGTACAGCTCCGCAACGCCCGGTTTGTCACTGGGCATTACCATCATACCAGCAGCATCGTACCAATGCTGCAACATCTCAAATGGCCATCTCTCCGAGAACGCAGGGTTTAAGATGGTTTAAGATGGTGATGGTGTACGGGACTGTCAACCTGCACTCAGAGTTTCTCAAAATCTACCTTCTATCGGTGTTAACATCCAACCATGGTCATACCCAGCAATTCCAAATACAATTTACAAGGACTCCCTGATTTCATCATGCTTTGGAACTTGCTACCTGCTGGATTTGTCAACTGTACCTTCGCTAAAGCTTTTAAGCAAGAGGTACAAAATGTCCATCTCCGTTAGAAGGGGAAGAAGAATTTTTAACTGCACATAGAATATTATAGAAAGTTTTAAATTTGCACTGTATATTCGCGACACCAGACCTGACGTACATGATACACCATACGGTGGAATGAAGTGATATCTCAAGATCTGGGGGATGAAAATTCGGGCTTTAACAAATTGCATGATAGTGGAGGTACTATTTTTGACTACACAGTCGGAAGTTCCATCTAGTTATAATATCCTAACATCAGTATAGTATCACTAGAACAAAACAAAAAAAATCATAAGTTACTTATGTAGTCTAGGAAGTTATTAGGAAGTACATATATTTATGTATGCCATTCTGCTCTTTTTCTGTGCCACCGTATATAGAGTGTATGGTTATTTATTTGTACAAAAATGAGCAAAAGCTATTTTTTCTCATCTTCAGGTATTGATTAGTATTAGTTGTAAAGATTTATGTAGCCATAAAAGTAAAACGTGTCTGCCTAAATTAGATATGTTTTCAACTTTTTTCAAGATGTATTGACAGAGATATTTTGAAACTTTTTATCATCTTAATAGGTTTATGAAGAACCTGTATGTGCCAAAGATTTTCTGATACATTGCAATTGCCAAAGTTACATATCATGTGTGGATATTTTATACTAGCCATAAAATTTATGTTCATAAATTTAATATACCTACAAAACTGTTTAAGATATATTGCCAGAGACGCTCTAAAACTATTTTGTTTACTGCTGTAACATGCTAATGTGCTTTTATTATGTTTTACGAGTGTCTTTACACCTTTAAAATACATTTTCAGGGAAATATTGATGATATGTGCTAATTTGTTGCCGTCTCTGTAATTTATGCCTCAATGTTATACAGTGGAACCTCTATAACGTGTTTAGGAGGTACCTGATACGGCAAGGTTTTTTTTCACCATTCCATGTTTTTGTGTAATGCATTGTTTTAAACCCTAGTACAATGAGATATCTGATATAAAGAGGTCAATTCAGTGGACACCAATGTGCTTATTATAATGAGATTTCACTGTAGATATCAAGTTCTCTTTTCAGAAGTATCTCTACTATCTAATGTAAACTGTTTGGATTCATTTGTCTTTGTTTTCATTCTGGTTTACATTATGTTGGCATTCACAGAGTAAAATTTGTTTATCTGTAAGTATAGTATTACTACAATATTTGTATACTTAAAAGGATGTATGTTCATAAGTCCTTTTAGCGAAAATAAATATAAGCTTTTGAAATACATGTATATGTTTAGATTATTGTATTAGTTTCAGATGTTTCAGGGATATATTTCTATTAAAGTTGAGTTTATAAGTGAGACATTGATTATAAACCTTTTCTCCTACGTATTTATACGTACTAAGCTCTACACGACTACATTGTCATAATTTAAAATATTTCACATAGAATTCAAAAACTAAACTTGTATCACAATGTGGTGGGCGTTTCACAGTGTGATAATTTCATACAATATAATGTGTCACAATGTGAAAACGCCCCAAATTAACATTGTGCGCGTTTCACAGTGTGTTTGGTGTTTCACAGTGTGGTGGGCATTTCACTGTGTGAGTGCTCACAATGTTAAATTGGGGTGCTTTGACATTGTGAATAACGATAGATTCACAGTGTGGTCACATTGTGAATTTCACAGTGTGAATTACATTGTGAATCATAGTGTGCTACACAATGTTAAATTGGGGCGTTTTCACATTGTGAATAACGATAGATTCACAGTGTGCTCCACAATGTTAAATTGGGGCGTTTTCACATTGTGAATAACGATAGATTCACAGTGTGCTCCACAATGTAAAATTGGGGCGTTTTCACATTGTGAATAACTATAGATTCACAGTGTGCTCCACAATGTTAAATTGGGCCGTTTTCACAATTTAACATTGTGGAGCACAGTGTGAAAACGGCCCAATTTCACATTGTGGAGCACAGTGTGAAGCGCCCAATTTAACATTGTGGAGCACAGTGTGAAGCGCGCAATTTAACATTGTGGAGCACAGTGTGAAGCGCCCAATTTAACATTGTGGAGCACAGTGTGAAAACGGCCCAATTTAACATTGTGGAGCACAGTGTGAAGCGCCCAATTTAACATTGTGGAGCACAGTGTGAAAACGGCCCAATTTAACATTGTGGAGCACAGTGTGAAGCGCCCAATTTAACATTGTGGAGCACAGTGTGAAAACGGCCCAATTTAACATTGTGGAGCACAGTGTGAAGCGCCCAATTTAACATTGTGTAGCACAGTGTGAAAACGGCCCAATTTAACATTGTGGAGCACAGTGTGAAGCGCCCAATTTAACATTGTGGAGCACAGTGTGAAGCGCGCAATTTAACATTGTGGAGCACAGTGTGAAGCGCCCAATTTAACATTGTGGAGCACAGTGTGAAAACGGCCCAATTTAACATTGTGGAGCACAGTGTGAAGCGCCCAATTTAACATTGTGGAGCACAGTGTGAAAACGGCCCAATTTAACATTGTGGAGCACAGTGTGAAGCGCCCAATTTAACATTGTGGAGCACAGTGTGAAAACGGCCCAATTTAACATTGTAGAGCACAGTGTGAAGCGCCCAATTTAACATTGTGCAGCACAGTGTGAAGCGCCCAAGTTAACATTGTGGAGCACAGTGTGAAACGCCAAATTTAACATTGTGCAGCACAGTGTGAAGCGCCCAATTTAACATTGTGGAGCACAGTGTGAAGCGCCCAATTTAACATTGTGGAGCACAGTGTGAAACGCCAAATTTAACATTGTGCAGCACAGTGTGAAGCGCCCAATTTAACATTGTGGAGCACAGTGTGAAGCGCCCAATTTAACATTGTGGAGCACAGTGTGAAGCGCCCAATTTAACATTGTGGATCACAGTGTGAAGCGCCCAATTTAACATTGTGGATCACAGTGTAAAGCGCCTAATTTAACATTGTGGAGCACACTGTGAAGCGCCCAATTAAACATTGTGGAGCACAGTGTGAAGCGCCCAATTTATCATTGTGGAGCACAGTGTGAAAACGGCCCAATTTAACATTGTGAAGCACACTATGATTCACAGTGTGAAACACAGTGTGATTCACACTGTGAATGAGTGTGAATTAGTGTGTTCTTTCCAGCAGGGTTGTGCGTATAAAAAAAACTATTTCTCTCAAAGCAGTCATTAATACTATAATATATCTTAGAATACAGTTTATATAAAAATGATACTCATCTTTTTTTTCTTTTTTTTTTAATGTGAAATATGGAGATCATCAATTGGAAGTCTAAGAGAAAATTTTAATGCCATAATTTATGAATGGCATATATGGTTACAATGGTTTTGGAATGTATCTTTATCATTGTGCACGAATATCCCTTCTTACTAAAGGATTACAACACCAGTTCATTTAAGTAAGAAAAAAACATTAAAAAGCCTTAAAAATGAATACAAGTTTAAAAAACAAAGTCGACCAGAGATATATAAGAAGTTGTAATTAAATTTACATGAATACTTATGAACTATAAACGAAGCCCAAGCGTAAAGGCAAATAGATACAGCAACAAAATTCATCTTTTTGATAGATGGAGATCATTAATTGATGCTTTACATTCAGTTTTCATGACGTATTTGTAGTGGCTTTTATGGTTAAAATGGTTTGGGTCACTTATTTCTATCATTTTGTATGACTTCTCCTTCTTACCGAAGGATTACAAGACTACTTCACACAATATAAAACCTACATGCCGTGAATTGAATAAAGATGAACGACAACAATTTCGAAACCTTTAGTTTGAAGTTATCATAATGTGTGAGAGCATTTCTACAACGCCCAAGCATTCTAACGTGGTAAGCTTTACCAAAAAGCGTAGAAGTGAATACATGAACAAGATTCTGAAAAATGACCACAAAATATAACAAAGATATATTAATATTGTCATAGATACTCACCATCTATTAACAAAGAAAAAGGGGAAATTAAAAAAGTACAGATGATATTAGATTACATTTTATATACAAATGATGCTTTAAATTCAAGAGATACATTTATATTCAGAAATGCAGGAATTTAGTAGTAAGTTTCATAGGTTTTGAAACGTTCATTTGCAAAATCAGACATATAGAATTGGTAATTGCTAAACAAAAGCACAAAGAAAACATGCACTATAGAAAATGGTCCCCTATTGAGAATTTATTCTAATTATCCCTAATTATATTTTGATAATGATATAGTTCAAACCACCCGAGACTGATTTTTTAGTTTTTACATCAGGTCTGTTTGTTTGTTTGTTTGATTGTTGTTGTTTTTTTGGGGTAATTGTTACAGTGATTCGTATTTGATTATTGTTCTTTTAATGTTATACAATTATTTAATTCTTGTATGATTGTTGTTTTTGTAATGTTACAAAAAATTTCGAAAATCAATAAAAAGTTGAAAAAAAAAAAAAAAATGATGCTTTAAATTCTATCGTGGTGAGCCTAAACAAAAACCTTACAAAAAGAATACAGGTTGAAATATTCAAAAAGAGAACCAGAACTTTATAAGGAGGTTATCATTGAAATTAGATTAAAAATTATGCTCTATGAACGAAGCCAAAGGGTAGAAGAAAAATAAATATTAGAATACACTTATAAGATTGTCCACAATTTAACTCCAGATTATATGCGAAATAATCTCTGTTTACAAAGAAATTAATTATGCCCTAGGTAATGTCGATAACTTAATCTTGCCCAAACCGAAAACTAATTATTGTAAACGAACATTCTTTTATCGCGGATCTTAATTGTAGAATGAATTACCAATTAACTTACGTAGACAAAACTCACTCAATCGATTTCGGCATGGCCTAAATGAATGGATACTAGATTTTGATGTATAAACTTTTGGTGTGAACGGGGAGGGGTAAGGGATGGTAATAGTTGTATTCATAATTTGTTATAGAGCGTTTGGGAGGGGGTCGTACATAATGCGTTTGTAATGTTTTATTTTCGTAATATTTTGTGTGTTATTTCTATGTTTAATTATTTCTGGATTTCTAGGAAGAACAGAGCCATTTTGATAATGGCTCTGAATAGAGCATTTCAGCCGTTTTTAATTCATGATTTGTATTATATTTCTAAATTATATTCTTGTATGTATTTAAATTTTTATTCGGAAAATAATCAACCAACCAACTAATGATACTCATCTTTTTCATTCATGATTCTTAATGGACAAGATGAAGATCTGCAGTAAAAAGCTTTACAGACAGTTTTCAGGCCGTAATTTTAGTGGCATTTATGGTTACAATGGTTAAGGACACTAATTTATATCATAGTGTACGAATATCTCTTCTTACCTATGGATTACAACACCAGTTCATTTAAGTAAGACAAACACAATATAAGCCTTCAACCTGTGACTTCATACAGTCACGCTACTTACCCGCTATGAACGAAGCCAAAGGGTAGAGCAAAAAGATAAAAATACATTTTAGAATACACCTATATAAAGATGATATTCAGCTCAAACATTACTCTTTTATTTTGTAAACCGATGGTTAAAAGTGAGCATGGACGAGTGGTAGCATTTTTACAACAACCTAGCATTATATCGGTGCGAGCATAAAACAAAAGCCTTAACAAAGAATACAAGTTATATAAATATTCAAAATACATACTTTGGCATTCATGGTTACAATAGTTCGTTCGTTTTAACAGATAAGAATGTATTATTTAAAAAAAAACGATGGATAGAAGTGATCATGGACAAGTGGTAGCAATTCTACAACAACCTAGCATTCTCTCGTGGTGAACTTTAAAAGAGCCTTATTAAAAGTAAATACAAATAAACAGATTCAGAAAGATGACCGGGATGTATAAGAAAGTTATAATTAAATTCAGATGGATACTTACCTGCTCTGGACGAAGCTAAAAGGTAGAGGAAAATAGATAAAGATTAATTCTAGAATCAACCTATATATATACAAATGATATTCAGCTCAATCATTCCTCTTTCTAAATAAGCAGGTGTTCATCAGTTGAAAGCCATCAAGACAGTTTTCATGCCATTATTTTTAAATGACTTTTATGGTAACAGTGGTGTAGGAAACTTTATCATTGTGCACTAAAATTCTTTCTTTCCGAAGGATTACAACTCCAGTTCATTCAAGCAAGGCAAACACACAATATAAACATCCAATCTAGGACTTTATTCCAGATGAAAAATGAAAAATTTCGAACCTATAGTTGGAAGTTATCATAAATAGGTGGCAATATTTCTACAACACCCAAGCATTCTAACGTGGTTAGCTTTAACAAAAAAGCGTAAAAGGGAATACATGAACAAGATTCTGAAAAATGACCAGAACATTTATTAAAGATACATTTGAATCGTTATGGATACTTACAATCTATAAACAAGGACAAAGAGGATAGGAAAACAAATGCAGATGATATTAGCTTACACTTAATATACAAATGATAATGATCTTTTAAATTTCTCTGTCTTTATGGGAAACATGGAGATCATCAGTTGAAAGCCTTACAGACAGTTTTCATGCCATAAGAGGAACTTATGGTTACAATGGTTTGGGACACATATTTGTATCATTGCGTACGAATATTCTTACTGAAGGGATACAAGAAAAGTGTATTTAAAGAAGCTGAGCGAAGGTTTCGAAAGGCTTTTAACCTTAATAATGTTGGTATCATTGCAAAGTTAATGTTACAATCTTTCTAATGGTTCATATTTAGTTTTCAAAAATTGTTACAGATTTGACTTATCTGCTTTTAAAAGTGGTGAAATTACTACCCGATTATTCCGCCCTTGATCGGCCCGCTATTGTGACGTACGATTTGTGACGTAGGAGGTTGGGCACATGAGCGAGAGTGCGATCCTCAAGCTCTCACACAACTCTCGCCTGCATGCGTTATACGTATACAAACGCCACTCGAACGCTAAATATCTGATCAAAATGTCCGAGCTCGAAGAAGAGGTTTTACTCGATTTAGAATTCGAAGTTGATGAGCACAGCTCCACAACAGTGGTACTGGTAGTGATAGTGATGATGATGATGATGATTGGGATGTAAGGGAGATGGAAGAAAGAGAACAGTTCGGAGAAGACGGCGTCGATGCTGGTGCAGGTCAAGTGATAGCATATCAGCGCGAGCTGGCTGAGCTGCCAGCTGCCGCTCAGCTCCCCCGGCCCCGCTCAACTGGCGATCGATCTGTCATGACTGGGCGAGACATTTTCTAATTTTTCGGGATGTGTGGGGCTTTTTGGCAAATTTCACGGATAATAAAACAAAGATGATTAGATGTGAGATTATATTTGGCGAAAATCAATTACAAATATGCACCATTCAGAAATAGAACTGCAGCTGCAGGACATCATACAAATGCAAAAGGACGCTCGCGATTCACTCATCATGGTCTCCGTATATAATCAACAGCAATCACTATCACGCCAAGGCATGATGACCGAACAAATGATCTCAGCAAATTACACAGAATGGAAGGGTATTTGGACAAATCGAATTGCATGATTCACCCCTCGTATTATATTACATAAATTTGCTTAATATTATATGTATTTACATGATTTCTAGAGATTGTTATTCCACTTTCTGGTCAGGATATGAAGCATGCGAAGTCTGGATAATGTATACGTATAGCTATGCAAAATACCGCACGCGAGCTGTGCGAGAGGCGAGCTTGAGGCCTAGAATTGCGATCGTGCCCAACCAGGGACGTCATAATCGGCCTACTGCGCGAACAAAATGTTCAAGCCAGGAATTTAAGTTCTGAAAAGTTTCTTGGAAAAAGCTTCTTACCGCGTTTCATTTATATTTACAAGACTTTAGAGCAGAATGTGTGTCTTTATATTGTTCTACGCTATCCGGACATGTATAATTTGCCCATTTTGAGTGAATATGTGAAATTTCTTCGCCGAGCTACTTTAAGTAAGACAAACAAACAAGATAAACGTACAGTCCGTGACTTCATAAGAGATGAACAAATGAAAGTTTCGCAACCTATGGTTGGCACTTTTCATGAATAAGGGGTAGCATTTTTACAACACCCAAGCATTATATCGTGGTGAGCTAAAAAAAAAAAGCACTAAAGTTAATACAACTAAAAATGACATTTCAGAAAGATGACCAGAACAAAGTAAAATTTATGAATGAATTAAGAATTATGAACAAAGAATAAAGTTAGAAGAAAGAAATTAAAGACGAATACATTACATATACTAATGACACTCATTTTTTTTTCATTTCTTTTTCTTAATGAGGAAGCAGGAGATCATCAGTTGTTAGCCTTACATACAATGTTCAGACCTTTATTTTAATGGACTATTTATGGGGGAAATGGTTTAGGAAACATATATTTATTCATGAAAACAAATATCCATTCTCACCGAATGCTTATTGTAAAACAGACATATAAAATAAAAAAGAAATCCGTGCCTTTATAAAAGATTAAAACGAAAATTTCAAAACTAATGCCCAAAATAGATAGGTAATAGTATGTGCACAACAGCTAATCCTTATATCGTAGCACGCTTAATAAACAAATAACAGTGAATAATAGATAAAGATTCAGAAAGATGACCGGAATATAGAAAGAAGTTATAATTAAATTTAGATTAATACTTACCCACTATGAACGAAGCCAAACGGAAGAGAGAAATAGATTAAGATAAATATAAGAAACAACTTGTATATACATATGATTCTCATCTTTTTAATCTTCATTTTTAGGGGGAAGAAGGAGATCATCAATTGGAAGCCTTAAAGACAGTTTCCATGCCTTTATTTTTCAATTACATCTTGGGTTTGAATGGTTGGGAAACATACCTTCATCATTGTTTACGAATATTCCTTCTTACCGAAGGACTATAATACTAGTTCATTTAAGGCGAGGCGTCAAAAATATCGATACCAGCAGGCTGCCGCCTCACGTATTGGCGCATCGAGGCTGCAATTACGGCCGAAGCCTGGCTGGGGCAATTATTTTTCACTTATTAGCCCAGCCGGCTTGCGCCAGGCTGGGATCTGAGGCTCGGTTTCCATTCGAAAGGCGGCAGCCGGCGCATGCTTTTGTTCGGAGACCATTATGATGACATCATGAGTTAATTGAGGGTCCTACCGCCAGCGGTAGCCGGCTGAGCTAATTTAAAAAATGCAGCCAGGACGCACAAGTGCAGTTAGCTGCCGCTGGCTGGTATATTTATTTTTGACGCCTCGCCTAAGTAAGGCAAACTCACGACATTAACATCAGTCTGTAAAAGTAAGTTAAACTAAAGCTATGGTCACAACTCAGAGCGGCGACCCACCGATTTGTAGCCTGCTCGGTCGCCTGGAATTTAGGCATCGCCCAACAACTTTTGGAAACGTCGAGCAGGCTGTAGAGCCCCAGTGATGTGGGCGATGCCGTCGCCGGTCGATTTAAGGTCAAAACTGGGCAAAATCGGGGAGCTTCTCCGGGCGGCGTCCCGGCAGTGACCGACTGATGACCCACCGATTCCAGAGCGGACTCCCGGCTGATTTTAGGGAAATTGCCCGGAGGCCGGCCGATGATCGGCGGGCCACCAAAATACGCTCGGTGGCCGCCCGGGCGCGAAATTTTTATTCCCAAACAGGTTTGCAATTTCTTAAAAAGTCAAAATCTAATTGTTTGTGACCTCTTTCCAAGCTGCTAATGACGGAGAACATATTGAGGAGAACGGAAATATAAGAAATTGCAAACCTGTTTGGGAATAAAAATTTCGCGCCCGGGCTACCTTTTGGTGTTGTGACCATAGCTTAACACACAATACACGCATACCATCCGTGACTTTATTAATGATTAAAAATAAAGTTTCAAAACCTATGAGTTGAAGTTATCATGGATAGGTGGTATAAAATATATAACACCTAAGCATTATAACGTGGTGAGCTGAACAAAAGCGAATTCGTGAATACATGGACAAGATTCCGAAAAAAATGACCAGAACATATAACAAAGATATATTGGGAATATGTATGGATACTTACTTCCTATGAAAGAAGACCAAGGGCAGAGGAAAAAAGATATATATCAATATAATTATATTAGAAAACATGTTTTGAAAATTAAAATTTCAAAACCGATGCTCAGAAATTATCATAGATAGGTGATAGCATTTCCAAAACACCCAATCATTCTATCGTGGTGAGCTTACAAAATACTAAAATGAATACAAAGAAAAATATTCAGAAAGATGACCAAAATATTTGATGCGACAATGGGAAATAAAGGTAAACAGAGGTACTCATCAAACGGCTGTTAAACAGAAAGGAAAACGGGCACTTATCAGATGGGAAAAGGACAATTATTACATAGGGAAAAAGGGCAAGTGTGAAACAAAAAGGCACTTATCAGCAGTAAAAAGGGGCATTTCTCGCACGTATAAAGGGGCACTCATCGAATGTGAAATGGAGCACCAATGGGAAGGGAAAGGGTCCTTTGTTACAAAGGGGCACTTCGTGGTGCTTGAAAAGGTGTATATGCTGCTCTGGTAGAGTTAGCTGTGCACCTAGTTGTGTCAATGCCAGAAGCTTTAAGGACCGCCCTGACTCATCTAACAAATGTGTATGTGCTTGCTCACTTGTGAGGCTTTCGATAGGTGACAGACATATATCTCTCTGTCTTTCTAATATCCGTAGTCCTACGGATGTATTGTCTTAAGGAGTGCACACCACAAACGAAATTGTCTTGCGTATAGGCCCAACTTTCAAGTTTGGTCATTTTCAAGTGCTCCATAATGCAAAGGCCCATATTATGCAGCAGGGTAGGTGGATACTAATTTTCCAATTATTCTCGCCACTTCGCTTATAGATGGGGCCCTCATTCTGAGCAAACCATACGAGCATCTCTGATGACTTGGCTCTTGTTTTCTGGTAGAGTGATGGTCATCTCAAGTGTAATGAGCTTGAAACCTAGAAATACAACTTCAATGCTGGTAGTTTAAACAGTAAGTTTACAACTGGCTGTCGTAAACTAACCCAAGATAACGTGAATAGACTTAAGTATTCACTAAGTACGACCGATTGGTGTATAATTTTCACATCAGAAGATGTAAATATTCTCTTTGATTGAGATGATATTCATTACAAAATAAATCATAATTTGTACATGAGGAATGTAAGGTAAATCAGGTATTATGATAACTTTTCTGGGGAACCTAGATAACACTCGGCTTTTTGCATCACTACATGTCTGTGGGATTCCTCCTGTCATGAAAAGTGAAAAGTACCCTCCCTCTTCACTTTCCGTGACAAATATGTACCCATTCTACGACCTTCTGACTACTATTGTACATCTAACAGTCGGTAATGAAATTACAAGTTGCCATCTAGTGATTTCAATTACATTTTACATCAAC